TCTGTAAATTCTTTCTTCATTTTTATTTTGGACAATTTTCATTGTTATATTCATTTATGTTTGTAAATAATTTATTTTCAATTTGCAATCTATTAAAAATTAATTAATTTTTTAAAAAATCCTTAGCACCACATGCCACACCAGCCCTGCTCCCAGGGTGGGATAAGCTGGCCACAAAAATTATTATTAGTAGTAGTAGTAGTAGTAATAGTATTAACCCAGAATCAGCAAATGCTGAAGATGTCTGAGCAGGAGAAAAATGTTTAAAGAGGTTCTTTAGGAGATTAATCTCACTGTCATTGGTTACTTTCTCTCCAGAGTTAAAACACCAAATTTTGTCACCATTTCCTCATTCTTTGCTTGTAGTTTCCTTCCTAGTGACCATCATGCCCTGGAAGAACCCCAAATCAACAAGGCTCTCTCACGCCAGTGAAAAAGATACTAGCTGGCAACCACCATCCACAGTGGGGAGAAATGAAACAGAACTGCACTGTGGCCTAGGGAAGAGAATCAGACACCCAAGCCCTCTCTCAAACTCAGCCACCACTACCAGACTTATATCCAGAGTATAATCTTAAGAGAATAAAGCAAATGATTTCTTTTTCAAGTATTTCCCCAAAAAATCCAAAGAAGGGTCCAGGTTTTCCAAGTACTATCCTATCAAGTCCTTTCACTAAACTAAGTTTATTCTCTGAAGATTTATAAAGAAATCCTACTCTGTGCCTCAGTTTTCTTTGCTAGAGCCAGTGGTACCTATTCCATGATGATTAAATGAGTTAATGCGTTTAAAGGGCTTTGAATACTACCCAGCTCATTATAAGCGTTCTGTAGGTGTTAGCTAAACCTTATAAAGGACTATTTCTCCCATATTATTTGTAATAATTCTTACTTGTGGTCTTATATTTCTCAATCACTAAGCATTAGTGGCTTTGGGGGCCAGGGAGATGGCTCAGTGGAATAAGTGCTTCCCTGGCAAGCACAAGGGTCGGAGTTCAATCCAAGGTTCCACCAAAAAAAAAAACAAAGCATTAGTGACTTTGTAACAGGCTATACCAGCCATAGAGCACTTCTGAGGTAGAGTTTGGCTAGTAACATAAATACTTACCCTCAAGGTCAGAGCCACACAACTTTTCCACAAACCAGACTGCAGCATCTACTAATTTCATTTATTGAGAAAATAAATTACAATTTAAAAAATTCAGCAAAACTTTTAAATTAATTTGGCGCTGGTGAGATGGCGCAGTGGTCTAAAGCACCTACTTGGAACAAGCTTGGCAAAGCACAGGGACCGTGGTTCAATCCCCCAGCACCACATGCAGGCCAGCCCCACCCACTTGTGGGCTGAGCTGGCCACACACACACACACACACAAATAAATAAAAAATTAATTAATTAATTAATTAATTAATTTGTCAGCTTTACTAACAACTGGGCTGGGTGTGGTAGCACATGCTTGTTAATTCCAGCATTTAGGAAGCTGAGGCAGGAGGATGGCCATGAATTCAAAGCCAGCCTAGACTGTATAGCAGAACCCTATCTCAAAAGGAGAGGATAGTCACATTTGAAAATACAAATGTAGGACACACATGATTTACTCAGTCTGTAGTAATGTCTGGAGTTCCTTTGGTTTCACAAAACCACTGCAATCAATTCTAGATGCCCTCCCCCAAAGCAGAGCTGAGTAACTGATCAGATCACCATGCCTCATCAGCAAAAGCAAATTCTGTAATTCTAGAGGATGAAACTAATTATCATCACACAGGAAGATACAAAGGGCTAGTGCTAGATGTGTGACCAGCTTGTCTTCTCACGTGACAGTCAGCGGTTAACTTTGAGGTCCTACCCATTTCAAAGACTTCTGAAAAGCCAGGGAGGGGATGAATGTGAATTAAAAGCTCATCTCAGTGGGGTAAAGAAAATGGGATGGAGGTACTCATTAAAAAGGCTCTTTCCAATAACCATGCTCTGAATTCAATGAAAATCTAGGAGATTACACTAAAAAAGCAAGTGCAAAGGGAGGACCTACGGTGTTAGCACCTCTTCAACGAAGACAGAACCAACATGGCCCCTCTCCCAGCTACTGCACTGAGACGGCTGAGGACAGAGTGGGGGCAGAGCTCCAAAAACATTACCATTGTTATCATGTCTTCCCTTGTATCTGATAGAAATGAGCAGCGCCCATCCATCCTTAGGAAATGACTGAGGAAGGGATAGGATAGAAAAATTAATTCTATCAATTTTATGAGGTAGGTGTCCGCTGTGTGCCAGGGACTGAAGACAAAGCAGAAAACCAGACCCGAAAAGCCTGTTTAAGGCTTAAGGTGAAAGATCATAAACTAGAGAGCAAATAAACCAATTTCCGACCGCTGTTAGGAGGAAGGCAAAAAACAGAAGCACGAATTCCTGAACGGATGCCTTAGGAAGGTCTCTTCAGGAGACTATAGTGCCAGGATCGAAATGGCCAGGGTCTTGTGAGAACCTGAGGCCGCAGCGCTCCAAGCGGAGCATGAAATGCAAAACTGATTCCCAAACCGAGAAATAATGAGAATTTCAAAAGTCCCAAAGAGGTAACGGTAACAGAAGTCTAAGAAATCTGAGGCGGCGCGGAATTTTAAATATTCAAGTCGCCCAATCAGGAAAAGGCTGGGACCTGACTGCCCCCACCCCCAGCAAGTACACAGCGGCTGGCATCCACAGGACGCACCGCAGGGGAGAACCAGTGACGGCACACAGCTGCCAAGCTCCAGTCCTACAAAGCTGTGTCCGCGTGACTGGGGCTTAGCTGTGTCCTAGTCCCCTAAAACCATGGCCAAGGGAAGCAGCCATTTCATCTTAGATCTATAAAACATACCAAACAGAGCGGCCTGGACATCATAGACCTGGATCGGGTAGCACAGAAGGAGGGAAGTCAGGAATGGGCTTCTAGAATGGATTTCTGAGAAAGCTAAGCAAGATGTAAACGTAAAGTACAGAAGCAAATCCAGTCACGTCCCAGAAATTTCAGATTAGAAATGTTTAAAAATCTTTGTGTACCATCTGCTAGAAGCTTTAGTCACTTTTTAACAAGTTCACATAAGTGGGCAAAGCTCTTTTCTGACGAGGTGGGTGGCTCTGAAAAGAGCCTTTGGGGAAAGGCATCCGGGGAGCGCCAAGTGCGGGCGGCACTCACTTGGAGCTGGTGTACTTGGTGACCGCCTTGGTGCCCTCGGACACGGCGTGCTTGGCCAGCTCCCCGGGCAGCAGCAGGCGCACGGCCGTCTGGATCTCGCGGGACGTGATGGTCGAGCGCTTGTTGTAGTGCGCCAGGCGCGACGCCTCGCCGGCGATGCGCTCGAAGATGTCGTTGACGAAGGAGTTCATGATGCCCATGGCCTTGGACGAGATGCCGGTGTCGGGGTGCACCTGCTTCAGCACCTTGTACACGTAGATGGAGTAGCTCTCCTTGCGGCTGCGCTTGCGCTTCTTGCCGTCCTTCTTCTGGGCCTTGGTGACGGCCTTCTTGGAGCCCTTCTTGGGAGCTGGGGCGGACTTTGCCGGTTCAGGCATGATAACACACAATACCAACAAAGCTTAGCAAGGGAACGAAGTATGAGGATGGGTGGGCTCGATCCTTTTATAACCACGTTATGCAAATTACGGCTCGAAAAGTCTTTCCTTCCCATTGGTCTACATAGGGACCTTACGTTCTCAGTAAAACCTACGTGCGACAACGACGCTCCGCTCTATTGGCCATTTCTGAAGCCGAATTAGGGCCAATGGGAGAACTAGTTCCTGACCCCACCTCCAGGAAAGATTATAAAGGCTTTCTTGTTGATGCTGTTTCAGGCTTCTTTTGTTGCGAAATTTTAGCATTAGGTATCTTTTAAGCTTTTTTTACCCTCTTTTTTTAGTAGTGATGTCTGGCCGTGGCAAGCAAGGAGGCAAGGCGCGCGCCAAGGCCAAGTCGCGCTCCTCCCGCGCCGGGCTGCAGTTCCCGGTGGGCCGGGTGCACCGCCTGCTGCGCAAGGGCAACTACGCCGAGCGGGTGGGGGCCGGCGCGCCCGTCTACATGGCGGCCGTGCTCGAGTACCTGACGGCCGAGATCCTGGAGCTGGCGGGCAACGCGGCCCGCGACAACAAGAAGACGCGCATCATCCCGCGCCACCTGCAGCTGGCCATCCGCAACGACGAGGAGCTGAACAAGCTGCTGGGCAAAGTCACCATCGCCCAGGGCGGCGTGCTGCCCAACATCCAGGCTGTTCTCTTACCAAAGAAAACCGAAAGCCACAAAGCCAAAAGCAAATAAAACCTGACAAAACTTAAGCCAAAGACCAAAGGCTCTTTTTAGAGCCACCCAAGTTCTCAAAAAAAAAAAAAAAAAAAAGAGCTAGTGCGCTATTGTGCTCAGCCCTTCCTCTGACACTTTATAGTGGCTCTTAAAAGAGCCTTTTGGGTGAATTGGGATGGCATCTGGCCTAATTATTTGTTCTTGCCAGGCTTGTGGCTCTCCGTTTTCTTAGGCAGTAAGACAGCCTGGATGTTGGGCAGCACGCCGCCCTGGGCGATGGTGACACCACCGAGCAACTTGTTGAGCTCCTCGTCATTTCTCACCGCCAGCTGCAGGTGGCGCGGGATGATGCGCGTCTTCTTGTTGTCGCGGGCCGCGTTGCCCGCCAGCTCCAGGATCTCGGCCGTCAGGTACTCGAGCACGGCCGCCATGTAGACGGGCGCGCCGGCCCCCACCCGCTCGGCGTAGTTGCCCTTGCGCAGCAGGCGGTGCACCCGGCCCACCGGGAACTGCAGCCCGGCGCGGGAGGAGCGCGACTTGGCCTTGGCGCGGGCCTTGCCACCTTGCTTGCCGCGCCCCGACATTACAGCTATTAAAGCAGTTGCGGCTTCTTTTTCAAGGAGAGAGAGATATGGAAAGAATAACCAATTTGATGTAATTTATAAGAGCTACCGGGAGGGGTGAAGGGAAGTAGTTTGATTGGCTAAAAGCGGAGCTGACTCAAACAGCCAATAAGGAAGCAGAAAACAGACCCCTCCCCTGCCCCACCCCACCTTGCCTGGAGGAAGTGACGGAGTTTGCAGGAATCCACCAATCACTGAAAGCCACATTAAAGCCCCTTATTTGCACGCTAGCGTTTTTAAAGAGAGCTTTGCAAATGAAAAGCTTTCTCTCTTATACTGTGGCAGTTTGCGGGGGGTGTCTTCCCAGCTGTAGCAGAGAAGTTGCGTGGACCTCTGAAGAGCGCAAGAAAGCCCCAAGTAAATGAACACTTTCGAGGATATGGGACTCTGCAATCTGTGATCCCTTTATCTCACCCTGTTGTCACAGCCAGAGTCCGTTGAAATTTACTAAGGTTTCTCCTTTTTCAACCTTCATGTTAATCGCAGTTTCCACCCTCTCTCTCACCACCCTAACCCTTGCGCAGTGGCTTGACTCGGGTCTGACCAAGGCTACAGTGGCCTTGTCATCTTTCTCTTGACCTCTAGGAGGCGTCTATTACAGCCTTGAAATGCTCCCATGGCATTCAAAATGTCCTCCGTTTTTCTTCTCACCTGATTTTCCTTATCCTGTTGTATTCTTCTGCCCGTCCCTAAACCCAAGCCCACCTAGACTCTCCATTTCCCCACTTCACTCGTCCCAAGGAGTCTTATGTACTCCCGAGCTGCCAACCAACGCCTAGATTTATTTCAGAAACTCGGATCAAATTCAGATCATTTAATTGTTTACTGGATAATTCATTCTTTTTGGTCCAAGATTCACCTTAACTATCCCAACCTAAACTCATGTAAACAACTCCGATATTCCTCTGTTCGCTTTAAATTGCACCAAAAAAGTTGCAAATACCAAAAGTCAAATCTATTTAAAGCAGGGCAACAGGGTGAGATACTCCCAGGGATACCCTCAGGGAGAGAGACACTACCAGTACAGTGACGCAATCGTCACTGTACACAGAACCAATCAGAAAATGCTCTTTTCAATCCTTCATTTGCATATGGACACAACTAGTCAAAGACACCATTCCAAACATTCATTTACATACAGCAGTAAACCAAGGGAGCGTGTCCCTAAGACAGTTCTACCGTAATCAAAGGCTAACGTGAATGATTAATTACAGTATGATGTCCCACTATCTTATTTGCACAAGAGAGCTAACCCAAAAATTTTAGATACGATAGACATCTTTCGCTTATCCCAGGACCTGCTGTGGGTCTTTTCCTCTGCCCACCTGTCCTTATAAAGCGTACTTTTCTGCCTTCAATAAATGTACAGCTTTGCTGCCTTTTCCGTGTGTCATGTCCAGTTCTTTCTGGGGAACACCAACAGGACACCTGGAAAGAAGTTCCCTGGGACGCACCATCGGTAGCACTCTTTCGGAAGCCAACAGTTATTAACATTTCTTCTGCCTTCTTCTCCCTGATTTTTGGTCTACCTCGTGTTGCTCCCTTAAATTTCTGCAAGAGCCCCTGGCCATAATTTTGCTGACAGACTCCAAAGGCTTGTGTCCTTTAGCAATCCCTGCCTTGGGGGTTCTGTCACCACACCATTTTCATCCCTTCCTGGGCATCCAGTAAGAATGCTGTATAGAAAATAGATTGTAGGAGGAAGAAAATAGATTGAGAACTGGCTGGATAGCTCAGAGGACTAAAGCACCTGTTTAGGCAGAGAGCAGTGGCTTGGGTTCAATCTCCGGCCTGCTGAGGTGCGCTGAGACAGCCATTGAGACTGGGCATGGTGGAGCGCCTGTTATCCCAGCACTTGGGAGGCTGATCTACATAATGAAACCCTGTAGACTCTGTCCTAAATACAGAAAAAGAGAGAGAGAGAGAGAGAGAGAGAGAGAGAGAGA